TGTCACTTTGTTAAAGAATGCAATAAGATTAGTCTGGCATGATCTGTTTTTGACAAACCCATGTTGGCTTTTGGTTATTACTTTGTTTGCTTCTAGGTGTTTGCCGATTCGTTGCTTGATTATCTTTTCCAGAATCTTCCCTGGTATTGAGGTCAGGCTGATAGGTCTGTAGTTTCCTGGATCTATTTTTTTTCTTTTTTTGAAGATGGGAACTGCATCAGCTCTTTTTCAGTCCTTTTGCAGTTCCCCAGTGCTCCAGGATCTTTGAAAGATACAGTTCAGTGGTTCTGAAGGTCTCATCTGCCAGGTCCTTCAGAACCTTGGGGTGTAATCCATCTGGTCCTGGTGATTTGAACTCGTCTAGGATGGACAGGTACTCACCTACCATTTTCTTCCCTATTTTAACTTGTGTTCCTAATCTGTTTTTTGTGGTGCTGTTTTTGATAGGTTGGACTGTTTTTTCCCTTTGTGTAAAAACAGATGCAAAAAAACGAGTTAAGTAGTTCTGCTTTCTCCCTGTTGCTTGTCACCTTCTTGCCACTTTCTCCCAGCAATGGACCAATTGTTTCATTGACTTTTTTCTTGTTTTTAACATGTTGAAAGAAGCTTTTTTTGTTATTTTTTACTTTTGTCGCAAGTCTTTGTTTATTGTGAGCCTTAGCTTTCCTTACTTCATCTTTGCAGGCTCGGGCTATTTGCTGATATTCTGACATAGTTATATGCCCCTCTTCCCACTTTTTGTATTTGTCCTTTTTGTCTTTCAATTTGTTGAGAGTTGTTTTTGCAGCCATGCTGGTTTCTTTTGAGAGCTGTTATTTTTCTTCTTCATTGGTATTGTGTTAGACTGGGCTTTTATAATCTCACTTTTCAAAATTTCCCAAGCTTCTTGAGTTGTTTTCCCCTTGAGGATTCTCATCCATGGAATCCTTCCCTAGCTCTCTCTAAGTTTATTGAAATTAGCTCTCTTAAAGTCCAAAACTCTAGTTTGACTTTGTTCTACTACTTGTGCTTGCATAATGTTGAATTCCAATATGCATGATCACTTGTCCCCAAGGTTCCTGTAACTTCAACACCTTCTATCATTTCATCTCTGTTGGTGAGAATTAAGTCCAATATGGCTGATCCCCTTGTTCCCTTCTCTACTTTTTGGAAAACGAAGTTGTCTGCTAGGTTTGTTAGGAACCTGTTGGATCTTCCACTTGGTGCAGAGTTTGTCTCCCAGTTGTTAAGAGAGGTGCTGATGTGAATGCATTGCTGAAAGATTGCTATCCCAACCTTCCCAGCTGTGATCACTAAACCATTGTGTGAGTTGTTAAACAAGTGCGGAACCGGCTCAGATTCCTTTCTCTAGCCCATCTTGCAAACTCCCCACCACCACCATGTGCTAGAAAGTTAGAAAGACTTTCTAGCCAGGGCAAGAAGGGGAAGCAGCATGGTGCAATCGAGAAACAAAGCTGAGAGAGCTTCCTTTCTATGGCACAGCGGTCAGTTATCCTGCCCTCCTGAGATTAGAAAGAAAGACTTTGCAATCTAAGAAGAACTTTGCAATCTAAGAAGGACACAGGGTCCAGTGCCCTGTGCTGAAAAAGGAAGCAGTTGCAATCTTCCCTGTTGGCTTCCCTGTTGACTTTGTGAGGAAACTGGCAGGGAAGTTTACAAACAGCGATCACATGATCATGGTGGGCTTGGCAACCTGTTGTAAATGCGAACAGATGGAGATTGGATTGCCAAAGGCTCAGATTCCAATCATGTAACCATGAGGGCACTGCAATAGCCATAAAGTTAAGCACCAATGAATGGGCACTGAATGAATTATTGTAATCCAGGTAACTGAAATGTACATGACTTGTGTTGGGGAGAAGAATGCATGCTGAAACCTATATAACCTTATTAGATCAATAAGTGAAATTGGACTTTCGATAAGTAGGATAAGAAGAGAATTGATATATTTGAACTTTAGTTTTGTAGAAGAATCCTGTGGTTTTTGACGAGAAAACAAGCAAATCAAATCAAACTGACTTATTACGTGAGGTGCAAATGACCAGGCTCAAACTAGCATAGTTTAGCCATTTTATGAAGATTTACCTTTCTGGAGATAGTTTCCCAGATGATTGGGAAAAAGCAAGAACAGAGGACACCAGCAGCAATGTGGAAGGAATCACTTACTGCATCAATGAATGCACCATCAGGAGACCTGAAATACCAGATTAGGGATAGGTCATCATAGAGAATATCTGTATGGTGCTAGAATTGACAATTACTTAATGGTAAAATCTATCATATGGACTTCATAGTTTATCTGCAAAAGAATTGGGCTGCTTTATGTAAAAATAAAAACATCGTACCATATTCTGATTGAGCAAAGAATTGGGAGTCACAAAATTAAAGATAGTAAATATGTTAGGGTTAGGCATATGGAGTTAAGAAAAAGAGCTAGAAAAGCTAAATACTGTAGGGCATGTACAGGATCTATTAGATTGAAGATTATATAGTCCTCGTTTAATGATCTTAATTGGAACCAGACATTTCACTACTAAGCAAAGCAGTCACTATGTGGAAAATCACATGATTACAGCTGTGCTTTCCATATATTCAGCTTCACACTTATGGCTTTTATTTTCCTCCTAACTATTTTCCGCTATGGAATTTTCAACTGCCTACTTACTGTTTTGCACATACCAAAAGCAACGTGATTATGCTGTAATCTGAGGCTGGGAGGAGAATTTAAACAAAATTCTCTGTAGCCCATTCTCTGTAATGGGCTAGAATTCTCACACACACTTTTTTTTTTTTATTATTTATATGCCGCCCTTCTCCAGAGACTCAGGGCGGCTTACAATGCGTTAAGCAATAGCCTTCATACTTTTGTATATTTATACAAAGTCAGCTTATTGCCCCCACAAACTGGGTCCTCATTTCACCTACCTTAGAAAGGATGGAAGGCTGAGTCAACCTTGAGCCTTGGAGAGATTCGAACCAGCAGTAAATTGCAGGCAGCTGTGTTAATAACAGGGTGCGTAGACCACTGTACTATCAAGACTCTTGATAGTACAGGCACTTGAATTTTTTCCCCATTCTTAAATAAATTAGGTGTGGGATATATTAGTATTTTCAGGCAAATTCTCTTATGGAGAATTCGTTGAATGCTCATTCATTCATTCATTCATTCATTCATTCATTCCATTTATTGGCCGTCCATCTTACCACAGGTAAAACATAACATAAAAAGTTAAAATCAGATATTAAACCAAGAACACATGGGCAAGACGGGGGTGGAGTGGGAGGAAGGTGGGATCTGTTATTACTCAATCAACTACCTCCATTGCACTGTTCCTCCACTGGGGTCCCAAGCCAACTGGCAGAGCCACATTTTAGGGCCATTATGAAATGATAGGGTTGGGGCCAACCTCACAAGACAGGGACAAGATGTTCCAGAGGGCAGGAGCAACAGCAGAGAAGGCCCACCTCTGCCAGCATGAGTAGTACAGGCTGGACACATGCCATCTCAGTCCCTTCCCATGACAAATACAGGTAGTCCTTGACTTACAACCATAATTGAGATAAAAAATTCTGTTGTTAAGTGAGTTTTGCCACATTTTTTGACCTTCCTTGCCACTGTTGTCAAGTGAATCACTACAGTTGTGAAGTTAGTAACTTGGTTGTTATGTGAATCTGGCTTCCCCATTGATTTGTTTGTCAAAAGATCTCAAAAGATGATCACATGTCAGAAATATGAGCCAGTCATTAAGTGTCCAAATTTTGATCATGTGACCTTAGGGATGCTGCAATGTTTGTAGGTGTGAAAAAAGGTCATAAGTCACTTTTTTCAGTGCAGTTGTAAGTATGAACAGTCACTAACCAAAAGTTGTAAGTGGAGTAACCTGTACGATCCGTCAAGGATTTTTATGGGAAAGTGTAAAATATGCACAGGGTCGAAAGAGACCAAATTGAGTGCTATAAGTATATACAGTATGTAGCTGTTGGATTACCAGTGGGAGAGATTAAGCAGATGAAATACAATACTTAAAAGTATTGGTGTGCTTCCTCAGTTGGTATAATGTATAGATTTCCAACATTTCTTGTGGAGTATAAAAATTAGAAATATTTTGATATTAAAATTAAATTTCTCATAGTTACTTTTTTATTTGAGGGAAAAGTACTTGGATGAGGTACTTTGCTGTCATACTTTGCTTTATCGAAGTTTTAAACTATATTCCCCCAAAATATGTCATATCTTGACTTATTTATGGTTTTATCAGTTTCTAGTAAGTTAAATGGTAGCATCATTGCAACCTTTGGCTTAATTTTTCTAAATACTTTTCATTGACAGTTAATACCTGGAAAATTAATTACATATTGTTAATTGTAATATAAATGACTAGTCACAGTGTAATGCAAAACATTTTTTTACGGACTTAACAAACAAAAAACTATAGTTACAGCAAAACAAATGATAAAAAAATAAAATAATAGTAACAATAATTTAAATCACAAATGATTTAATTTAGAGCAACTATTTGGAGCTTAGTTTATGTCATGTTACTTTCATATTTTAGACATGAAAGTTTTTGAATTAAAATGGATTTAAAATGGATTATGTATTTATTGGATTATATAAGGAAAACTGCTACATTTTGTAAAACTCTTAATTCATCCAATTTATTGTTTCATTTATTTGCATATCTTACATGCCTTTAATTGCCTTTTTTGTATTTATATATTTTTGTATGTAAAACATGTTCATAATAAAATTAATCTCTGTATATTTTACGTTTTAGAAGATTATTTTAGGAAATTCAAATTCTGAAACAAAAAAAATTGTCAGAAAATTTGATCCCAGAACCTGAATAAAGTGGAACAGTACTGAATCACATACATCTATTAATACATAATACAGTAAATTTGAGAACTATGTGTTGACATCAATCCACCCAGATTTCAACATTTAATTATTGCACAAATACATTATTTATCATCTGTATTGTTTTCTTTTTTTGCAGTCTGCTGCTGAGCAAGCCAAAGCTAGATTACAATTGGTCCTTGAAGCTGCTGGTGAGTAAGGCAATGAAAATATATTTTTTTTTAAAAAAAAGTAAGATAGGTTAATGTTTACTTCAACAGCCACATTACTTATGTTTATTATTGTTATATAGTTAATAAGCCAGCCCTTATATATTATTAATTACTGCATTTACAGTAGCTAGATAGGTGGAAGAATTCATTTGAAAAAGAGACCTAAAATTAGTACAAGACAAAAATCTTTGTCAAATCCACAATACATTATTTGCTTTATTGAATTCTAATTTTATTTTAAAGTTCTGTTTGTTTCATCCAGATTTTTTTCTTTTAATTTTAGATTCATTGTTAACTTGAATCTCGTGATGAAATCATGGTTTAAGATATCCTGTTTTTCAGAATATTACAGATTCCATAAGTTTTGTCCATTTGTATCAGATGCATAGTTTTTAAAGATTATTTCAGATTCTTGCAATCTTCTTATTAATGCATTTTTTTTTAAAAAAAAACCACCTCTTTAGAGTTTCATATTCTGGAATAAAATATGTGATGAGAAAATAAGTGTTATTGATAAAATTTTAAATAATATTATTTCCTTTTCTTTGGCTGCATGTTAACAAACATCTTCTAGGCAATTTTCAGGAAAAACATGAAGCTTATGTATTTTTAAAATATCTTATACAAAATGAAAATTATTCAAACTGTTCCTTTCAGTATAAATTGAGGTAGATTTTCACCTGATACCAAATTATCTTAAAGAAAGAGGCAGGGGAGCTTTTGTGGGAGATTTGTTGAAATATTGAAAAGGAAGACCTAGCTTTTGGATTCATCCTAATAATTAAGAGTAATGATCAATACAAAGTGGTTTGTAAAGCTTTGGGAGTTAACACTTTGCTCTTTTCACTTCCATGTTTTCATATTTATTCTATATGTTCTTTTTAATGATATCAAGCTACTGTAATATTTATTTATATTTTATTTATGAAGTATATTTGTAATAAAGTATTCATGTAGAAGGATGCTAGAATACAATATTTTCATTAATGATAAAAATTGAATTTGTGTCTCTGGTGTATATATTTATATAATTTTTATGTATTAATTATTATTAGCACTTTGGAGAGATCAGCAAAAATATTTGAATCCCAGAGAATGTATTAATATAATGTATTAATTAATAGTAATACATTTTTAAAATACATTTTAAGAGTATATTTTAAAGCATATTTTAAAGTATTATGTATATAAACAATATTATGTCTAATATTTCTCTTTATATTGGATTCAAAAGGACTTTTGAAATATACTTATGTACCCATTGTATATTACACTTTTGCCTTCAAAAAGTATTTTATATAAATCCCATGATGTTACATGTTGTTTGCACAGATTACATCATTCTTAACATTTTTTAATGTTCTTCATAGTTTTCACTTTATTTGCAGACTATATATTTCTTTATATAGCTAGAGAAACTAACCAAATAATCTGGAAAGGAAGTAATTTTATATCCTTAAGAAGCCCCACTTTATCACTAATCATGATATATTTGGGTGACTTTATTTACTTATTTTTTCACTAGAATAAATAAGTATCGCATTATTTTAATACAGTTTAACAATATCACAGCAATGTTCTCTCTTTGAGCAGATGTTAAGCAGGCAGTTCCTGAATGTTAATTCTGAGAGGGTGGTATGTTTAAGCCTATCTAAAGTATGTTGCATGTGGGCTTTCCAGGCTTAGTTACAATGCTCTCTCTCTTGGGAGAATTTTAAAGCTAAACCTCTTTCTTTTTGTCACTCTATATGGACTCTCTCAAGTCAGTATAAAGCAGATCATCCCTAGGCTAAAGCTCTTCAGCTTTTGTTATTGGGCTCTGTAGGCCTGTAATTAGGCCTCCTGGTAGGCCTTGCAGCCCAGTTAATGGTCATATGGAGTTTCTGTGAGGCAGACTGGCTTTGTATAAATCCTTCGTTGGAATATGTTTATGGGTCACTTCATACCAGGACCGTGTTTTGTCCTTGTGCCCTATAGGCTGACAAGGAACTGGTTCCCTTGACCATGGACAGCTCAGTTTGCTGCTCATAGTCTACTCAACTAATCCCCAGTGTAAACAGAGGATTTAGCGTAGCTTCTGTCACTTACAGTTGCCAAACCACTTGGGTGTCTGTGATTTCTTTTCCAGCATTAATTATTGAATGATGGAGAACAGTAAAAGGTTTCATGGTTGTTTGTACATTAAATATATCCTTCTTGTCTCAAATACTGACAAGACAGTATTCACAATATTAAATACTTCATCCCAGTAGAAATTCTGCTAGTTCAAAACATATTTGAGTAATCCATATTTTAACTGAATTTTTAAAATGTATACTTTGCAAACATATTTTATGTGAACATTTCCAAATAATTAGTTTGTGCTAATCGTATAAAAATGTTGTCCAAAATTTTCTATGCTGTAAAGATTCTTTTCAACTTATAAGAACAATTGCAGAAGTTGATTGATGTGTGTTTTCAAAGTCGTGAGTTGAAATGACTGTCTGATCTGCATGTGGAATCTGCATTTCAAACCTGTTTCTAAAAAAGCATGCAAAATACTATATTTTAAAGACAGAATTGTTGATGGCTTAAAGCAGGTTTCAAAATAGAGTTTTTAATATGACATTAGCAATATGTGATAAAAACTGATGGAAGAATTATTTATGTTTTATATGTAACGGAGTTGTTTGACAGCTTATCTGAATATTTAGCTGTTTAACTCATTAGGTTCTGATTATATAGCTGGTTTGTTCAGTTAGCTGTGCATCACAATTATTTTAAAAAAAATCTTTCTAAAGGAATTGGCTAGTAAAATACAAATATATTAATATTAGATATTGCAAATGCAGAACATTTTTTCTATGATTTTCTTCAACATTTCATTAGAGTGTGATAAAGCTCAGTCTTGCTCAGTCTTATATGATAAGTGGTATACAGTCTGTGGGTCTAAGATGTTTCATGACAGATGTGGCTGAGGAGACCACATACATAGAATATATGATTTTAGTCTGGTGGAACTAATAGGATCATTCATTACTTTACAGATCTTTCCTTTTTTGTTTCTTTAATGAAAATTGTTTAGTTAAATAGGGCAGACTTTTAGCTCAGTGCTTGGTAACGGTGCAAAGCCAGTTTTAAGGCCAGCTGGAAAGAAATAAAATATTGCAAATATCCATTTAAATATTATATATCAGAAATGATTAATTTAAAAAAGAATAGTATGAGATTGCTTATATTTCTACAATATTGTTTTTAATATTAGCTCTATTTATATTCATAGGGCTACCTCTTATGTTTTCTTTGGAAGTAAAATTACCACAAATCAAGCGTGTGCAATATGCACCTCTTTCAGTAATTTACATTATGAAAATAATATAGCAATATAAAATGTATATCAATAATATTAATAATGTTCTATCAAGTCATTGGTTTATATTTATTATTTTTTATTTGTATATGTATTGAGTTTTTATATTTATTTGTATATGTATTGAGATTTTAAAATCTTCCCTCTAATTTCCAGTGAGTTTTTTTAGTGATACTAAAAAATTGTTGGAACAAGAAATTAGCAATATATTTTGGATGTTTTAGAAGAGAAAGTAATAGATCAGAGTTGAATTGTGATATTTTTGGTGCTCCTTGAACTTGTTTGTTTCCTTGCAGACATTTCATTTCCCAACTAGAGAACATCATTAGTGTGACTTTGGAGTTTGTTGGATATTTATATATAGTAGTGGGGATCATGTGAAGTAAAAAACATTTTTATCTCCCCTGTCTCCCTTTTAAGACATAATGGCTTCCCAAAAATAAATATTTTGCCTCTTTGAGTTGTAGCTGTCAAGTGCAAGAAATCAGATCCACATGTTTAGAGTTCAAGCTAACTACTTTATTGCAGCAGTCCCCAACCTTTCTGGCTCTGCGGACCGACAGTAGTGGCGTGGGGAGGGAGAGGGGATGGTTGCACCACTTGCGCAAATGCAGCTTCGGGAGCTCACATGCTCGCCTGCTGCTTGCACAGCCTGGTTTCCAATGGGCCACAGCCCAGCACTGAGCATGGACCAGGGGTTGGGGACCTATGCTTTATTGCATTCTGCCTATAATACAGGAATCTCCCGAGACTGCTTGCCTTCTCTTGGGAAGAAAACAGATAATGTCCCATAGGCTAATTCCCCGCTTGATCCCTCCTCCCCTCGTCCAGCTGGCAGTTACCAGTAGCTGACTTAACAGTTTCTTATTTATTATATATATATATATATATATATATATATATATATATATATATATATATATATATATATATTCTTTTTAGAAATAACTCAAAGCAGCGAACATACCTAATACCTTTTTCCACCTCCTATTTTTCCCTCAACAACAACCTTGTGAGGCAGATTGGGCTGACAGACAGTGACTGGCCCAAAGTTTCCCAGCCAGCTTTCATGCCTAAAGCAGGATTAGAGCTCAAAGGCTTTTGTTTTCTAACTTGTACCTTAACCAAAATATCTAACAGGTGAAAAACAATCAGCATTTCTTCTTCTGAGCCGGTGTACAGCTCACGTAATTTGTTTGCTGATATAATTATTTCAATATTTCCTTGGTAGTTATGGCTATAGCACATGGATTCCTTAATTTTTCTTTCCACAAAAGTAACAGCGGAAAAAATCCCTCTGTTATTCAAGCATGTGAAATCTCTATATAAGGGAAGAACTCAGCTTAAAAACAAATTTATTTTCAAGATATATGAAGAGGGAAGGGGAGTTGAGAGAAAAGCAGTCAAAAATGGTTTAATCTGAGAAGTTATTCCTTTCTACATGCTTTTGTCTCGTTCCTTGACAAATTGGCAAGAGGTAAGGTGACACAAAGCAGCAGTAGCTTAGGTTTGTGGAATCAAGTTATAATGACCAGCCATGATTAAAGCAATCTAAGAGCTATAAACATGTTCAAACTGTGTTTTCTTTATCAAATCATAACAGCAGAATGTAGATGATGCTAAGCAATAT